ATAGATAGATAGATAGATAGATAGATAGATAGATAGATAGATAGATATTCTACCAAGTCTCAAATCAGAATGCTGTTAGTTATTTTGTTTAAATTCATATTACTCACCCAGTATTACTGATATGTCTGAGGAAATGAGTGACGACATTGTAAACCATTTAAATTTCAACTGGAAAAAAGTATTTTGTGACTGGCAGTTCAAAGCCATTGCAAGATCATGATTGAAACGGTTGAGTCATCATTGTCATATTTTGGCATCATCCCCATCCCAGGGTGAAACACCGTCTGATCAAACAGTACAACTCCAGCTGTCGGTCAGCAACTGTCACGTCTGGGAAGTTGTCGCTGTTGGACATTTGAGTCATAGGTTTGAAAAACAAAGTGAGTGGGCTGTTGGCCTATGAACCCCTTATCAGAGGTTGAACACGGGACCTTGTTCAGATAAATATCCCATCAAATCCAACCACTCCTCATTCTCCAAGAAGACACAACCACAGCTGCTGGCTGACAATGGCTCCATCCCTTCTTGTCACAACAGGGGGAATTTTATTTCTATTCTCTTTCTCGTCAGCTGTAAGTCAGTAAGCTTGGATTGCTTTGTTTTATTACTTTGACATAGTTTATTCATTCAGAAAAATCTAAATTACTCTTCTTTTTTCCTTGTCAAATAGCAAATTAGAGGAGATGGTATTCAGGAATGCACCCCAAACGATGGCTTTGTAAGTATGAAACTCGAATACCCGATTTTAAGAATCTGTGTCTGTGCAAATTAACGCAATTCTCTTTCAAATGTTCCTTCCGTATTCAGGGACAATACTGCCCGACTACATGTGGAGTCGCTGATTACTTCCTGAAGTATTTACCAGGAGTGAATCAGGATTTGGCCGACATGCAAAGAGAATTGGAAACAATTGCCAATTTGACTGAAGGGGCAGAAGAAAAGATTGTGGACATGAAAGATTCTGCTGTTTCAGCTCAAAAGAGTTCTCAACCAGGTGATGCAGCTCATTTGGTTTGTAGTTATCTTGAGGCTTCAAAAAACAAATGGTTTTATTGTAGTTTTTGGCCGCAAAGCATTCATTCACATATATATATATATATGTGTGTGTGTGTGTGTGTGTATATATATATATATTTGTTTTTTAATTGTTTTTTTTTCCATTGGCAGACCTATATTATAAGAGATCATCAAGCATGCTGGATGATGTGCTTCGATATGAGAAGACAATCATTGCACAGGAACAGCAGATGTTGTAAGCTACTGTAACTGTTGGTCTACATCTCTTTATCTTCTACTAGCGGGGCTTATTGCACAGTATGTCAAGATAATGATTTTTGATTAATTCTGTAGCCAACTCCTGTAGCCAACTCCTCATAATTTCATTCTTTGTGCTTCAAAAGATGTTTAATACTTGCCCAGCTTTTTTCTTGAAATTAGGCTTTCATTTTAAGCGGTCTTTGTTTCATCTATCCACTGACCCTTGAATCAATGCTCATGAACCTCTGTGCAAACACCGTTCTAGCTGGGCAGGTCATGGAGTGATCTCCCACCCACACAACTTTCTACTTTGAGCACATGTTAGATATTATTTCCAAGTCTGACTGATAGATTTATCATTTCCTCATGAAATGTCAGCAATCTGGAGAAAAATATTCAAGGGTCTTTATGTAAAGATTGTAAACTTTACATAAAGACCCAACAACAAATGACCGCAGTTCCCACAATTAATTCGTCTTGAATTTTCTTCCAGCGAACTGCAGAATTTAATCTCATCCAATGAGAGAAGAATGGCGGATTTGAAACAGATTTCCATTCAGCTGCAGCAGAAGTGCAGCGAGGCCTGCAAAGACTCAGTTGAGATCCAAACCACTACCGGAACAGGTACCAAAAAAAGGAATAAGTAAATAATGGTAGCAAACAGACATCAACACACAGTGACCCTCAGGCCACGCTATTGCACAAGACGTTTCTCAATCTGGCCTCATCTGAAAAACATCTGTCCTAGTTCACAGTTTAGTAAGAGGCTTAAATCAATACACTACTTCAAAGCAGGGTAAACATATCTATTCTACAAATGGTTCATTTAATTTTTACTTCATTGCATTTTTACAACTACGTCTTGCCAAAACATCATGTAGCACCTGCTGAAAGTGTCCATGCAGGATTGTTTCAATTTGTCTCTGGTGATGATTATTTTACTTTCTTGTCAGACTGCCAGGATATTGCTAACAAAGGTGCTACTACCAGTGGTATTTACTACGTGAAGCCATTGAAAGCACCAGAGCCGTTCCTGGTCTACTGTGAGATTGACAGCTTTGGACGTGGATTCACTGTAATACAAAGGGTATGCCTTCTTAGTTGCAAAGAGCCAAACAGCTTTGAGGTTTCAGTGACCAAAAGAAAAACCCATTTTTATCCCTCTAACTTTTTCTACATCTACAGAGACGTGATGGCAGTTTGGACTTCCACAAGGACTGGATCCAGTACAAGAACGGCTTTGGTTATCTCTCTCCTGATGACACCACAGAGTTCTGGCTCGGAAACGAGAAGATGCACCTGCTGACTACGGGCTCCAACATCCCAACAGTGCTGAGGATAGAGCTTACAGACTGGGAGGGCAACAAAAAGTACATACGCTCACACAAAAACAGATTATGCAAGAGGAGAGCAGAGGGGCATAGTGACAGAGCAAACATGATGCTACCTTGGGAGGGGGGTGGGGGTCATAAGTAACAGTCACAATGATGTAAAACTTATGTTCTCCTTTCTTCAGGTATGCAGACTACAATATGTTCAGGGTGGGACCAGAGATCGACATGTACCGCCTGTCCTACGGTTACTACTATGGTGGCGATGCAGGCGATGCTTTCGATGGCTTCGACTTTGGCGATGACCCCAGTGACAAGTACTACACATCGCACAACGGCATGCAGTTCAGTACTTTTGACAAGGACAACGACAAGTACGATGGCAACTGTGCACAGCAGGATGGCTCGGGCTGGTGGATGAACAGATGCCACGCGGCCCATTTGAACGGCAAATATTACCAGGGTGAGACGCCGCCGCTGCAAGTAGCGCCCAAGCAAACCTCCCCATGAAGAAGAAAAACTAAAATTTCAGAGGATATTTTACGCTTGAACAATATTTTGAGGTCTGAACTGTTTGTGCGTGTCTTCACACAGGTGGCAAGTACACAGAAAAGGATGCAGGTGAATACGGCTTCGATAACGGCATCATTTGGGTCACATGGCACAGCCGTTGGTACTCCCTGAAAGAGACCACCATGAAGCTCATTCCCCTCAGCCGCATCACAGCAGGGGGTGGACAGCAGGCCGGTGTGAAACAGTTTGGCGGACTTGGAGACATTTAAAGAAGGAAAAGTTTATGGTCTGCATTTTTTTTTGTTTTATTGTCCTCAAACCACTTTAGATTAAATAAACGGCCCCAACTACTGTGTGTCTCTCTGTGACGTCCACATGAGTCGTTAATCTTACACAATTTAATAGTGATGTTTATCTTTGCCATTTCTTCACATTAAGCACTCAATAAATATATTTTCCTAACAACTGTTGTCATTAATTCCTACAGCAGGCTCTTTAGGCATGGTTATTGTTTGCCGTGAAGTGTTAAGAATTAGTGTGAAATCATTTCAGTATACACAGAACACATCTTATCATTAAAGCCACAGACATCTAATGCGTGTAACAAATCTCTTAAAAACTTATCCTTTTTAAAAACCAATTCCAACCATCTTAATATGGTAAAATTATTACTTGGCTACACCCTCATGACAGACTTGGGATTTCCAAAGTGATGATAAATTATTTTAAAAAAGGATACAATATGCCACAATACATTGCAGCTTGATGTGTATAATACTGATCTAATGTGAGTATTCTGAATTTCTTTATTAGGTTCACCTACATTCAAATTTCCCAAGCATCTGATAACAGCTGTGGTGAAGCAGAACAGGTTTACGAACAGACAGCCCACAGGACCCATACTAACGACATAATTCCACTGTTTCACTGTGCCATTTGCTTTCATTAGCTTTTTTAAATGTATTTTCAGGTGATTAGTTTTTTCACATTTCCTCATTCAGACTGGAGGGTAACACTAAATAGCTAGTCCCGGACTGTGATTTGTTTATGCTTCACTTTTTTCTAATGACCCAAATTTCAGTTGGAATTTTTCCAGATGTTGTTTAATGTTCCATTCATCAAATACACCTTTAATGTTCTGTTTTAGCATACAAGAGTTAAAAACACTTTCGCACTTGCCATGTTAGCCCAGTGTGCACCTTTACAAAGTTTATTTACTTTTCAGTGTTTACCTGTTCTTGTCCCCAACCATCACAGAGCTCATCTCAGGTCAAATTCCAACTTTGTAATAGAAAAGGGCTCTGTCAAATAGAGACAAAGTAGACAGACACTGTTGCATAACCTCCCAGAACCATTGATTTCCCAACTAACTAAAGAAATCCGTATTTTTAAGGCTGGCGTCTCTATGATTTTTTTATATAAAAAATTAAAGTAAAGCTTTTGATCTTAATCAGAACAATTTTCTTTTTTTTTCGTTTGCTTTTTAATACAATCACATAGCAGCCTGCACACAAACTTACCTTTCACACATCTCCAAAAGACATATTTGGTTATTAGACATACAAGACATGTTTTTCGAACAGTATTGTTAATGATTGATGATTAAATCCAAGGTCTTCCTAACTTTATAGTGAAAAAAACATCCCACATTTAGCATTTCAAATGTTTTCTATGGGCCATTAGGAGTCAAACTTATAGCCTTTTTATATTTCCACGTAATTGGCGTTTTCTTTTTTTTTATTTACATTCTTAAAAGTCTGGAAACTTTTTTCAGGAGCTTGTGCACTCACCTTAGAGTTTTCTGTTGGGCACATACGGTTTGATACAGGGGTGGATAAAGCCACTTCTTAACTTTATTATGTTCCTGCAAGTTATACTTGCATAACTATACTTTTTCAAATATTTGCCAAACTAAAAATGGTTGACAATGATGAACAACGTGAGAGACAACGTACCAAAACAAAATATCGAAGATGTATTAATGATGCAGACCGACAGGTGGCGCTGGTTAAGCTTGGATGACTTCCGGTCCTTTGTACTTCCGGGGCATCATTGGCCGCTTGGTTAGTGGCGTTGGTCATGTTTTTGTGTCTTTGATAGATATCGACAGCGACTAAGTTATATATCTACCTGAACAGTCCAATTTTCCGCCGCAGAATTATATTTGAAACATTTTTTCAGCACAATGACAGAGGTAAGATTTTGTCTTTGCTTCCGGTAATATTCAAACAAATGTACACGTTGTTGGGCCCGCCTAAACACAGGAACGCTAATGTTGTCTTCTTTCGTGTTTAGTGGCGTAAACAAGATAGTTGGCCAACTCGTAAAGTATCGTCTCTTTTTATTGAGACACAGTGTTTATTTAATGCAAATGTAATCATCTACAGGATGTCCAGAAGCACTCGGTTCACACTTTGGTCTTCAGATCTCTTAAAAGAACTCATGACATGTTTGTGTCCGACCATGCTAAGGGTGTCGCACTGGATGAGGAAAGGTACGTCTTTCAACATGAAGTTTGATTTGTGCTTATAATTTTCCGCTGTTATTTCCTGATAGAAACGAGTCCAGTGTTTCCTGGGCATCAGGTAGTTTGCTCAGTTTAGCACAGAGAGGAAATGTTGTGGTTATTCAAGTGCAAATGTTTGACTTGCTCTGTGGAGCAACCAGGATAAATGAGCATGTAAACCTAAGCTATTATCGTTCATCCCTCTTTGAGCCTTTTTATTATAAATTCAACAGCATAAAAGAAAAACGGAAAGCTCCATAAAAGCTAGAATAAATCTAAACTTTTATTGAGCTGTGAATGGTTTAACTGGATTCTAATTCATTGTTTAAAAATGGTCCCTCGATTTAGAAGCCCCACATACAACCTGAATTTTAGTAGCTACAGATAATTCAGGATTATTGTTGACATTGGCTTGGTCTGCACATTTTATACTGCTATTTGGCATCAACACCTACTGAATTGACTCTCAAAGTTACCATATCTTTACCATTTGCAGATCAGCTGTCTTACTGATTGAAACATAAAATGATTTAGATTTTCTTTTTATTATTTTTGCTTTATTTAATCCCCAGAGATGGTGTGATTTAAACAAGTACTACGATAAATTATTAATGTGTTGTCTACTGGTGATAAAATTACGTGCTAAAACTGCGGTAACCCGTGTGTGTTTGGTCATGGATCGCTGCATGTTGTCCAGGTGCTTGTTTTTATGGGCATCCAATGTTTTTTTGTTTGTATTTCGTATTTGCAGCCATAATGTAAAGATGGGCATTAAACTGAAAGCGGAGTATGGTCCAGTTTTACACATGCCCATCCTAAAGGAAGGAAAAGACAGAGTCTTGCCACCCATTGGCAGCCTGCAAGGCCACCAAATCTACTCTCAGCCAGGTGAGTTCAAAACTGACCCTGCATGCCACTTTAGAGATGTTGTCTGTTCATTAAACTGGGAAAAATGGTAAATTATGTGACATTTCTTTCTGTGTGTTTGTGTTTTTCTATCATTTAAAACATTTTTAGGCGATGACCCAGAATACCTGATTACTGGCACACATGCGTATCCCTCTGGACCTGGTAAGTACTCGTACTTTCCACAGCATACATTTGTTAACCTTTCCAGTGCATGGAGTTGATCCCAACAACCTTCACCCGACAGGAGTGGCTTTGACAGCTGACACAAAGATGCACAGGAATCCCAGTGAGGCCGGGGTCCACTCGCTGGCGCTGGCTTTACCACCTTCTCAAGCTCGGTGAGCATTTTTAAACATGGAAACCGGATGGAATTGGAGCCTGATATGGGCCGGCTGCATTTACAGTTATTCACCTGTCTTTTTCTCTAACATGCATTTCAGACAGGAAGCCAGCCGCACTGCTGCCAGCATTGCCGACATCCATCGACACGCAGGAGGAGCAGAGAGAGCTCATCCTCAGTCTACTGCAGTGGTAGTCCTGCATTTACTCAGCCAAGTGAACTGTTTGTCTATTTAACGTTGCTGTGGGAAGAGCGAATCTAATAACGCGTTTGTTTTAGTCGCTCCTGGATGGAGGCACCACCAGAAATTCTGCTCTCCTGAGGAGAGCTCCAACAATGCCTAAACCCCAGTGGCACCCCCCGTGGAAACTGTTTCGGGTAACTACAGACCGCCTTACTGTCCCGTTTGCATTTGTACCCGATGAGGTGATGTCGTGCAGAGTTGTTTGACTGCGGTTTGTGGAATGTGTCAGGTCATCAGCGGCCACCTGGGCTGGGTCAGGTCCATCGCCGTGGAGCCTGGAAATCAGTGGTTTGTCACGGGATCGGCTGATAGAACGATAAAAGTGAGTCATACATCCGTTCATCATATTATGTTAAAGGTAGTGCTTTACACATGTTTAATGGTCCACGTGTAGCAGTTCAAAACTGGCACTCCGGGACATCTGTTGTTTCTGTACCGATCCCTTTGTGAACTGGAGGCCATGTGACCCGACAGATCTGGGACCTGGCCAGCGGAAAGCTTAAACTCTCCCTGACCGGGCACATCAGCACAGTCCGTGGTGTGGCGGTGAGCAGCCGCAGCCCTTATCTGTTCTCCTGCGGAGAGGACAAGCAAGTCAAATGTTGGGATCTGGAGTACAACAAGGTTTGAAAAAAGCTTTCCGAAAGCCCTACAGTTGAATCAGTTGTGTGTGGTTTTCTTTCATTGCTTTTGAATGGTGGTTTCCTGTGTGCGCTGTAGGTCATCAGGCACTACCACGGACACCTGAGCGCTGTGTATGATTTGGATTTGCATCCAACCATCGATGTGCTTGTGACATGCAGCAGAGATGCCACTGCTAGGGTAAGTTATTGCAGTGCGGGTAAGATGAAGACTCCTTCTGTAATTATGTAAGCAGATTAAACCTATAAGCAAAGGTTACAGAGGGCTCAAGGTAACTGTGTTTTTGGTCAAATTTCAGTGGTTGCATTGCGTACACAGTCCATCAGCCTGAAGGCTACAGTATGATTTAGTCTCTGCTGGGTTAAAAATGCAGACTGACTGGGTTTTCTCTCTGTCCGTGCAGGTCTGGGACATCAGGACAAAAGCAAACGTGCACACACTAACCGGTCACACCAACACTGTTGCCACCGTGAGGTGTCAGGCAGCAGAGCCTCAAATCATCACTGGTAATTATCTTTTTAAAAACTACGCAAACTGAATGAATCTAAAGTTGCAATTTACCAGTTGTCTGACTGTTGGTAATCTGACTGATTCTTGTTTTATTTTTATCACAGGCAGCCACGACTCGACCATCAGACTTTGGGACCTGATCGCTGGAAAGACCAGAGCGACTCTAACAAACCACAAGAAGTCTGTCAGAACTCTGGTGCTGCACCCCAGACAGTAAGTAGAGCAGAAAAGGTCAGGACGGACTCAGACATTCATTCTTTAACTGAATTGGTGCCACAATGATCAGGAGGAGTATTCATCTGAGACCCCGCGTGGCTGAAAATTAGATCCCCGTAAACCGTCATCCAGACTATATAAGCACACACACTTTCCATCGGGGGCTTTCAAAGTCTCAGACTGGCTGCTGCAAGTTCAGTTTTCGAGCTAACCTGGAGTTGTTTTAATCTAATCTGATTTCTTGCTGTACAGATACACATTTGCCTCCGGCTCAGCCGACAACATCAAGCAGTGGATGTTTCCAGACGGAAGCTTTATCCAGAATCTGTCAGGCCACAACGCCATCATCAACACTCTAGCTGTCAACTCCGATGGCGTGTTGGTGTCCGGAGGTAAGAAACAACTTGTTGTCTTAGCTCTTTTTGTTCTCTCTTACCTCGTGAAATCATTTTGGTTTGTGGGCTTAAAATCTGTCTTTTTTTTTTCTTTCTTCTTTCTTTTTTTTGGGAAACTCGCTAGCTGACAACGGAACCATCCACATGTGGGACTGGAGGACGGGATACAACTTCCAGCGGATTCACGCAGCCGTACAGCCCGGATCTCTGGACAGCGAGTCGGGAATCTTCGCCTGCATGTTCGACCACTCGGAGAGCCGCCTGATCACCGCCGAGGCCGACAAGACCATCAAAGTGTACAAAGAGGACGACATGGCTGTAAGTTACCGTGGTCAATTTGTTTATTTGTTTGCTAACATCCAGGCAGCAGAAAGCTCATGAACAACTTTACCTTCTTTCTTACAGACAGAAGAAAGTCATCCAATCAACTGGAAACCAGAAATTCTCAAAAGAAAAAGATTCTAGAGATGTTTTATTTTATTTCCTCCTTTCTTTTATTTTCGGCCTTCAAAACACGAAGTTTTGTTTTGTAGTGTTTTTTTCATCTTGCAAACTTCCGCTCAGTCATGTCTTAGTTTCTTTATCTACTAAGAACCATTTGCAGTCTTTATTGTAGGATATCATTCTGACAAAGCTGCCGTTTTGGACAAAAAAGCCGTTCCTCAGATTCAGTGGGATTAGCTTTAAGCTGGACCTGATCCTCTTCAGGATCAAACCCTGGTGCAGGACAGAACCCTGCAGCTGAGTCAGTAGATGTTCCGTCTGTACAGACATGGAAACAAACACTGCTCTTTCCTCATGTCCCGTTTATTTTGCTCCATTTTAATAAAGACCACATATTTCGTATCCTTTTGTCTTTCTTCACGGTGAAGTCAGAGTTGTGGTCTTACCCAGGTATCTCTTGGTGACAGTGTTCCTGTCGTATTTACAGCCGTTCCCCTTAATCTCCTCCCAGTAACTATCATTGTCCAGTGTGTCGTTGAGCTGCGCCGAGGTTTTTGCCGTCATGTGGCTGGATTATCTGCTCCTCTAACTTTTATTCTTAAAAAGCACCTTTCATGCCACTCAAGGACACTTTACAACAAACGTCATCATAAAAACAACATGGAAACATACAATAAACACATTCAAAACATGAATGAATAAGTAAAAGTGCAAATGAATAAAACTGCAGAATTAGGGGAATTTGGAGTTAGGGGTGGTTGAGTGGGTAAGAAAAAAACGGGGAAAAAAGGTTTATAGTTTTGTTTTGAAAAGAGGGAGAGAATCTTTTCTCTTCTAGTTAAAATTGAGAAGACAAGATGGCTTTGAAATGTGTCACTTTCTCACCTGCAATCCACCCACAGCAGCCCAGCACTGGTCAGTCCCAGACACTCACTGGCCTCCCAGTTGTGCGTTAACATCGCCGGCACTATAATGACCTCCCTTGTGTCCGCATAGCTGCGGGACGCCCGATAAGCTGGCGTCACACAGCAGCCTCCTCCACTCCTGCAGCCATTCTGAGGACACACACACAGTCATAACCCTAACCTAGTCTTATTCATTCTATACCACTGATAAAAAAATTGTTTTTGGTAAGCAAGATAATTCATGAAAATGAGTAATAAACTGGTAATGGACTAGATGGTTTTTGTTTTTTAGAAAACGCAATGCAGTGATTTTCAAATCATTCACACCACTCATTTTGTTATTAGCAGAACAAAAATAACAGATCAAACATAGAAACCCGGTAGTATTATTGTTTGGTTAAAGATAATAGATCCTTTTGAGATTGAAGTAATCCATATGAATGTTATACATGTAAATTCTAACTTGTAACAGTTACGTTAAATCATTTTTAGTTTTAGTTTATAGAACAGACTCCCTTTCCACAAAAAACAAAGAAAAAGTATATTTCATTGTTTAAGAAACCACCTTGATTGCACGGTTTTATTTGACTTTTTTTGTTTTTACCACTAGGGAGAGCTCTTACACCTTTTCTCAGTCTCACCATGTGGAATGTCGTTAAATCACGCAGTGTTTGATCATTCTACTTTATCTCTATATCTGGCCAGAGACGGACGGATTGCGTCGTGCCTGCTCACAGACCCCCCTTTGCTTTCCAGCCCATTTTGATCTTCAACAGGTCGGACGTGACGCGCCACCTGTCAGGTCTGAGGGTAATCTGTGGTCCTGATTAAATCTTAAGCAATCGGAGCTTTAGAATGAGCTGCTCAGCGTGAGATGAGAGGAGGGGCGTTCAGAGTGAGACACTTAGTGGTGTGTGGTGTGAAGGAATCAGTGGGATTTATCCTACTGGGTGTTGGAGAATGACTGCGGTCCGCTTTCGCGCGCGTAAAATTGTACGATTCTTCTCCCTGATTTAGTCTGAAAAATGGGGTTAACGTGCGCTTGAAACTTTTCACTTCAAGGTGGAAAAATGTAGTCTAATTTATTTCAATAATTAAAGCAACGTGGAGGAGGAATGGGTCTCAGGACTTCGCTGCTTCCGACGCTCCTCCTGGCGCACTTTTGCGCGCTGGCTCTCGGGCAGGTGTTCAACATGACGCTATCCGTGAAAGAGGGCCTGCCTGCCAAAACCATCGTTGGAGATCTGGGAGCGGCTTTAAGTAGACCGAGCACCGGATTCTTCATCTCAGAGAGCAGGGACTCCTACGTGTTCAGAGACCTGGAGATTGACGCGGACACGGGCATCATCTCCTCAGCTGTGGTCCTGGACAGAGAGAGTAGAGATAAGTACGAATTTGTGGCCGCAACACTCTCTGGAGAGATGATCAAAGTCAAAATAAAGGTGGAAGATGTGAACGACCACTCACCTGTGTTTCCCACTGAGAAGATGGAATTGGAAATATCAGAGTTAAGTCCGCTTGGGAGTCGCTTTCCTCTTGAAGGTGCAAAAGACCTGGACGAGGGGGAGTTTGGTACTCAGGGATACCGAATAACAGAGAGTGAGATGAGCGAGTTCTTTTCCCTGGATTATCGTACTGGATCTGAGAACCATCTCACCTTGGATCTCATCCTTAGGAGCAAACTAGACCGAGAAACTCAGGACTTCTACGTTCTGACAGTGGAGGGCTTTGATGGTGGGGTCCCGGCCCGGACAGGGACCCTGCAGGTCAGCGTCCGTGTCCTGGACGAGAACGATAACCCTCCTGTGTTCAACCAGACCGAGTACCATGCCTCGGTGCGCGAGGATGCTCCCGTCCCATCCGTGGTGTGTCAGGTGCAGGCCAGTGACCGTGACCTGGGGGACAACGGCAGGATCACTTACGAGATCAACAGGCGACAGAGTGATCCGAATGCTGTTTTCTCAATCAATGAAACCACCGGGTTGGTTTATCTCAACAAGCCACTTGATTTTGAGACTCAAGCTTTTCATGAGTTGATCATCAGTGCGAGAGACAATGGAGCTCAACCTGAATATAGCAGCACCTTTGTGGGTGTGAGGGTGCTCAATATCAACGACAACAGCCCGACGATCAGCGTGCTGTTTCTCAGTGAGTCAGGAGACTCGGTGGTTTCAGAAGCGGCGACAATCGGGGACTACGTCGCTCGGATTTCGGTGTCAGATCCAGACTTTGAGGAAGAGAGGATCGCTGTGACTCTCGAGGGTGGGGATGGAAAATTTAACCTGAAGCAAACAGATGACTTTCTCTATGCCCTATGTGTAAACTCTGAGCTGGACAGGGAAGACAAAGACCTGTATGAGTTGAGGGTGGAAGCATCAGATTTTGGGAGCCCTCCTCTGAGCAGTGAGGTGGTTCTCCTCCTGAGGGTCTCGGATACAAACGACTGCCACCCAGTCTTTGAAAAAGATGTCTACCTAACAAGCATCCCCGAGGACGCTCCCCGGGGGAGTTCTCTCGTACAGATTCAGGCCCGAGACTCTGACGATGGCGTCAACTCACAAATCAGATACTCCATCCTGAGGAGCAACCGGGACAGCCTGATCAGCATCGACTCAGAGTCGGGCCTGGTGACCACTGCTGGGGCGCTGGACAGAGAGACACAGGCGGAGGTCTGGTTCCTGGTGGTGGCAGCTGATGGAGGGGAGCCAGCTCTCTCATCAACAGCCACAGTCACGGTGTCGGTGGAGGACGTCAACGACAACGAGCCCGTGTTCCAGCAGCAGCTGTACAACGTGTCCGTCCCAGAGCACAGCCATGTTGGAAGCTGCTTTTTGCAAGTATGTTGGAGAAATGCGTTAAGTATCAATAATTAACATACGTACACTTTTCTGGATGTGGCATCCTAAGATACAAAGCAGTCTTATATATACAAATGCTTTTTTTAAGGAACTATGTATTCAAGTACTGATAGGGAATCAGTACTCCAATTTGGTTGCAATGGATACATCAGTTTAGCCAAATAAACAAATAATAAGGTCCAGAGCTCTAAAGCTTCTCACCCTGTTCAGAATTTTACATTTACTGGTAAACCATTGAAAATGTTTCATTTCAGTATCACTTGGTGCTTTTTAAAAAAAAAAAATATTTCAGGAGGGTGGGGGCATTGGGTCATATGTTGCTGTTAAAATGATTGTGAGATGCGAGATTAACTGCTGTCATCACCCAGCAGACAAAAATATAAACAACTTATCATCATACTCTGACTTACATATTATCAAGAGTTCCTTTACAAAAAAGCCCAGTCACATGTCTTCACTGATGACATTAAACCGCATTCAGACTTGCTGGGCCTCTTTCATGTCTTATCAGACAAAAGTCGACCTCAGTTAGTTTGCACAAAGACATTAGTGTTCCTTCCAAAGACGCACACCATGCGGCCTTTTCCAGTCAGGCTCCATGGCCTTCGTATGACAGATGGAACGACTGGTGCCACCCTCCTGCAGCCTGGCACAAACGTAAGCCAGTTTCAACAGAGGCCTGATTTAACAAGGCATTTTCTGAAAATATCACTGATGTTAGCTCAGTAATTGTTATGGGCATTGCTTTCAGGCAGACTTTAAAGTGCGTGTTCTTTTGCATTAGAGGTCTAGGGAAGTCTACGTCAACAAATTGGTATCCATCAGGATCAGTGGGTGAAGAAATGACAGGATTAAAAGTGAGAATTCATGCTGTTTTCACAGATATGACGTGAGACACATGTGGCATTCCCACAGGTCACTGTTTCTCTGTGCTCTGTGGATGTGCTGCAGTGCACGTCGACTCGATTCAGACCTTGACCCATGACTCTAAATCTTCCTGCCTCTGAGTTCATACACGCTGAGGTGATATCATCTTTATGACAGGAAGCGAGCGCTCTTTTTTCACAGGATCAGTTTGACATCAAAGGCAGGACATCTGTCAGATCTCAGGCAGGTTTTCCCTCTGACTTTAATGGTCTTTTGTTCCCACTGCAGTGATAGCCCTCTGCCTTTGATAACGCAGATTCTCCTTCTCTTTATGTTTTTATTGTGTTGACGTCTTGTCAGAATACGTAACAAATTTTTATGATTTGCAGTTAACACAAAATGTAAATGTGAAGGCTGATGTGCCACAGCATGGCACAACTTTTTGTGCCATATGTGGTTAAAAGGGATTGTATTTGTACATGAAATCATAAAAATAAATATTTGTAGTTTTGTTTTGTTCAGCCCAACAAAGAACTGAGAATCAAAAGTAGTTTTGAGTTTTAAAAAAAGTTTACATACTCCATTTCTTCTGGATGCAGAAGAAATTATACAAATTGAGTTGGGGCCCAAATATTTGTTGGCCAAATTGTAAAACAGCTAAGCTGTGATGACATTTTGTAAGTATCCTTAGCTCTTTGTAAACCAAGTTATCTGCTCACACACTGGATATAATATATTTACCAAGAAAGAAACAATATAAGTTTGAAGGTGGCAACAATTATTTAAAAAGAGCCACTATGGATTTATACAGGGAGCATAACCATACGCATAAATGTCACCCACAGAACAACATAGAAATAGCAGAAAAATATCATGTTGATGAATTTTGATAACTTCAGACCATGATTAAGGAGTTCTAAATTTTCAACCTCTGCTTTTTTAGGTTGTCGCCACAGATGCAGACAGCCCTGCGTTTGGCACACTGTTGTACTCTCTTTCTGACGGCTTTGGTAGACAGGACCAACACCCCCTCTTCCAAATCCATCCCCACACAGGAGACCTGTGCGTCTCTCAGGATATCGATCGAGACACGGGACAGACTGTCCATGACATTCTGATCAAAGCAGAAGATCCAGTGAGTGAAATTTTTTATGGATCTCCTTCAACACAAAAGTATTTTTATTTCTCTGTTATCCTCAGCATTTAATAAAATGAATACCTTTTATGCCTTCCAGGGTGGCCTAAGTGCCCAAACATATGTCCACATTGAGATTGAAGACTTGAATGACAACACTCCTGTGTTCAACCCTGAAGAGTACACAGTGAGCGTCAGCAGCCACGCATCACCTGGTACAGAAATCATCAATGTTCTTGCAACTGACAGAGACTCCGGCAAGTTTGGACAGGTCACCTACAACATTTTACCTGGAGACATGTCCAGTTTATTTTCACTGGACAAACAAACAGGTAGGAGCTTATAGAATGAGTGAAATATTATTTTTTAAATGAAGATTAAAAAAGTCGCTTCTTTACAAACACAGCGGACACATTTAAATTATTTAAATGCAAACGTAATATTTGCTTGCAATTTTGTAGAGATGAAATGACAAATAATTACTTTAAAGCAATCCTTCGACCTAACTTGAACTGGTCTCCGTAGGAACGCTGCTCCTAAACTCTTCACTGACCCAGCTGGGCGCAGCCAGTGTGAAGCTTTTAATAACAGCACAAGATGGAGAGGGCTTCGTCTCAGCCAGGCCTGCCGAGGTCACCGTTAATATTTTACGAAGTGCCCGGGCTCCAGCCATATTCCAGAGGTCACGCTACTCTTTTACAGTTCCTGAAGATGCACCGCCAGGGACTTCTGTGGGAGCTGTGGCGGCCGTTGACCCGACCGGTGAGTTCACCCCTGTCCAGATCTCTAAAGTGCAATTTATTTTGGACCAGTCGGGGTTGATGCACACTTTTCCCCCAATTTCCCACCCTAATTTTCATCTTTATCACGCTATCTGTACTCTGTTACACCATTTGCAGCTCTGTGCGACAATGGACATGTGGCCAACAACAACAGAGATTTACTCAGTGTCGATTGGCTTAACTTACTTTGTCTGAACCTGTTTGGCAAAAGCTGCAATGGAACAGACTTTTTAATCATTAATCAATTTACTGAAGGCCAAGGTATCATAAAAAAGTTGGATATGACAGATGTTTTCGACTAAAAAAATTCAGGAAGCATTGTTGTTACTCACAGTTACTTCCAGACATGGAGTGGTGAGAAGTAAAGAGGAAGGCTACAGTTTAATCTTTAATCCCTCTTATCCACATGGAAACCTGACAGATAATATGGGGGTCAAACACAGTTGTAAAATATACTGTAAATATATTGTTAAAGAGGTTTAAAACTGACAAACGATGACAAATATGTTGGGTTGTTCTGTTAAAGTGTTGGCATGTAACAATCCATACGGAACTTTCTTTCATAATTGCATAGAAAAAAACGATTTAATTGTGTAATTCTAATCTAATTAGGTCAGCGTAACCTCCTCTCTGTGGAGTGTTTCCCAGCTATAAACTTTTCCAGAATAACTTCTTCTTCATTGTCACCTTTTATTTCACCAAATCCAACACACCCTACCACACTAGACAGTCACTTAAGGCTGTCTAATCAATTAACAGATTAACTTTTCAGCTTAAAGTGGAAACAAGAGGGTCAGCCTTAGATAAGCTCCTTGCTTGTTTCAGTGGTTTGCAGTTGGTGTTGAAGCGCAACAAACACCTTCAGGGGATTAATAGGATCTTCTGAATTCTGCTGTAATTAATGTGTGTGTGTGTGAGTGTGTGTGTGTGTGTATGTGTGTGTGTGCGTGTGTGTGTGTATGTGTGTGTGTGTGTGTGTGTGTGTGTGAGAGAGAGAGAGAGAGAGAGAGAGAGAGAGAAGGAGATCAAACAGTATTACGAGTGTTTCCCCTTTGAATTTTTACCTACCCTAAAGTCCGTACCCATATTACATGGACTTAACTGTACCTGTTATCAGTTTTCAAGGGCAGAGATAAATGCTGAGCCTGAACTCAGAAGACGAAGACGTTAACGTGTTATGATACAGAATGGAAATAATATGTTTTTTTTTATATCTCTCATTTTTGTTTGTCTGTTCATTCATTTATACATTCCTTCTTATATAAGATTAACTCTAATTGCTGGATGTGTTTAGGCTGCACACGTGCTAAACTTTCTTCATGTTATCAAACACGTAGAACACTTTTATGTTTTTCCCTGGTTCTTTTTGTACCTTAGTAATACACAAAATGAACATTACACATCACTTCCTGTTTTGCATTGAATTTTGGCTCATCCAAAAATAGTTTTTTTAAAAATCACAGTTTGAAACAATTGAACCTTTTAGCTGTTTTTTTTTTAAATCCACAGGCATCTCTGGTTTTGGGGTAATTAATTAGGCAGAGAATTGGCCGAGACATGCAGAGTCAGTGTGTGTAGAGGCAGGATTTGGCTGGGAAGGTGCAGAGAGATGACAGGAAAAAGCAGCAGTGTCACTGAATAATGAAAAAAAAGGAAATTCAGGTTGTTGAAACAGATGACATGACAGCAGGGGATTTGTGAAACACAGTGAAATCTGACAAATTGGATGTTTAATTCTCCTAATGGTTATTGTAACAGCATTTACATTTAGATTATTAATTAATGTGATTTCTGTCCCTTTTTTGACACTCATGTTTCTTTACAGATTCCACAGAAGCTATTTCCTACAGAATCTCCTCTGGAGACCCTCAGGGTTTGTTTTCCGTTCATCCAAAATCCGGCCTGATCAGGAACGTCAAACCTCTGGACCATGAGTCGCAGCCATACGCCCTCCTGGTCCTTCAGTCTTACACTGAAGCCTCTCCTGTCTACAGCACCACTCAGGTCAACATCACCATACAGGACGTCAATGACAATGCTCCCGTCTTCCCCAAAAGTAGTGACACCATCACAGTGTCACGAAACACTCTGCCGGGATCCGTGCTGTTTATCGCACATGCTCACGACTATGACAGTGGTTCCAATGGGAAGGTGCAGTATTACCTGAAAAATGACAAAGAGGGGCTGTTTGTTGTCGACCGTGACCTGGGAACAGTTACACTTAAACAGCGTTTACAGGCGGGTCAACAGCAAAGGTACAGTCTAGAAATTGCAGCGGAAGATAAAGGAGAGCATTCCCTGAGCTCAGTGCTGACCCTCTCAGTGACCATCGATCAAACTGCTGCTGAGGACAGCCTAGCCTTTGAGACGCTGGTGTACCAGGTGGAGATCGGCGAGGGCTACCGTAAAGATTCCCGCGTCATCCAGCTGAGGGCGCACTGGACCCGTGGAGCTCACATTTCAAACACGCGCCTCACTTACTCTTTAGAAACCGAAACTGGGTTCCCTACAGCGCCTTTTCGTGTTCACCCGAAGACGGGATGGCTGTATCTCTCCCACAATCTTGACTATGAGACCGAGACAAGGTATCGTTTTCAAGTTTTAGCCACATCCGGAGACGCCCCGTCGGGACACTCCACAGCAACGGCCTCAGTCATCGTGCTAGTGTTGGATGTGAATGACAATGCTCCAGTGTTCAGCAGTGAGGTGTACTACTTCACTGTGCCCGAGGGGTCGTCACCACAAGGCCTTGTGGGAACAGTCAAGGCGACCGATAGGGATTCTGGGAAAAACAGCCAGCTGTCCTACATCCTACTCTCAGATGGGAAATTCTTTCGCATCAATTCTAAAACAGGTAAAGACAAACTCATCAGCCTGAGTTTGGCTGCACAGCGGGGTGTTCCTCATGGTTGTCGCGCTGTCCTTCCAGGAGAAATCATCAACTGGGTGGCGTTGGACCGAGAACAGCAGGGACAGCACAGTCTGAAGGTGATGGTGACAGACCAGGGTCACCCCCGACGCAATGCCACCACTACTGTCCATGTCCTTATCTCTGACATCAATGACAACATGCCACAGTTTACACATCTCCCCGTCAGCAAAGAGCTGAGTGTGCAAGTAAGATCATGTCCATTATTGCCATCAAGCAAAGAAAGAATTCTATCGCACTTCCCTCATCGCAATTTTTTTGTCTCAAAAACTGACAGAAACCTTGTACATTCCTTGCATTGCAGATATGGGCTGGTATCCCCACAGGATCCTTTGTGACAAACATGTTTGCCAAAGATTTGGATGCAGGAGAGAATGGCACAGTAACTCATTCACTAGTCACAGGTGAGCTAAAAAAATGGGAATCGTGTGGTATAAATATGTGGGGAACACATTTAGCAACACGTGCTTGAAATGGAACGAGTTCTTCAGCTTTGTCATGTTGCATCTTTCTCAGTTGGTCTAGAAAACGAGGATGCCGGGCACTTTGACATTGACAGTAAGACTGGAGAAATCAGAACAACGCAGCTCTTTATCAAAAAAGCTGAACCAAGCTACACATTGAAAGTATCTGCAAAGGACAGCGGCTCACCCCCTCTGGAAGACAGTGCAGTGGTTCATGTTCAGGTAAAGTCCATCAGTTTATCAATATTTTCCAGGTCGATCTAAAAGAAAAAAACCTTGTTAACTAGTAATTAAAAGGATCTCTTTCAAATAGGTCACAGATGTTTAATTAAGACCTCACAAAATTATATCAGCATGTCTCTTTAAGATTCCAGTTATGCACTAAGGTGGAATAAAAATCCAAAGAAAAAAATTACATCTGCTGTTTTGTCTTTAGATTTATGGATTAGACGACCTGCACGACAACTCTGACCATCAAGCTCTGAGATGTTTTTCAGTGAGGGAAGACACCGAGCCTGCCGCTGTCATCGGCTCTGCCAGCGTCTCAGACGATGGCAGGTTGCAGTATACCATCACTGAGGGTGATGGGAACTTTCACTTTGGCATTGACAGTTCCTCTGGAGACATCTACATCAACCACCCGCTGGACTACGAGTCTGCCATGCAGTACTTGCTGGTGGTTCGAGCTGAGGACGTGGGCTCCGGTGTGAACGTGTCTCTTCCCGTCAGCGTGATGGTGGAGGACGTAAACGACCACACGCCCTGGTTTCCTGATAAACTGGTGACCTTTGGTTTGAGGGAAGATGCTCCAGTTGGATCGCTGGCCTTTGCTTTTCATGCCAGAGATCCCGACGGAACTTTTCCAAACAGCGCTCTCCTTTACAATCTGACCTTCGACCCTGAAGTTAGTGGGTCACCAGCGGAATTCCCCTTTCACATCGACCCGTTTACGGGGAGTCTGACCGTCGCCGCGCCATTAGACCGTGAGAGCAGCCCATCTTTTGCCTTCACTGTCACAGCTACAGACCAGGCGGAGAGGAAGGATCAGCGCAAACAGGCGTCTGTGACAGCTCAGCTCTACCTCCTGGACGTGAACGACAACCAGCCAGTGTTTGTCTCAGCAGACACTGTGCATGTGATGGAGGACTCAGAGGTGGGCAGTCTGCTGCATCATTTTGTGGCAATCGATGGTGATCAAGGCGAAAATGGGATTGTTTCCTTCTCCATTTTGGCTGGAAACGTGAGAGGTTTCTTTGCACTCGAAGAGAAAACAGGTACAGTGTTGTTGTTTTTTTGCTTTTGTTCTTTGTGAATGCAGAAATGGTGCATTGTTTGTTAACTTGTTCTGAGTGGAAGCAAATGATTTCTTCTTACATTAGAGTTCAGCACATTTAGAAATAACATTTATATGTATGTATTTAGCAGACACTTTTATCCAAAGCGACTTACAAAAAGATAGGATTTAACATTCAACTACAACACCAGTTACACACTTAGCTTACCTTGAGTGCAATATGCTGGAATAGAATTTAACATTAAGGATTTAACATTCAACTGTAGCATATATTAAACAAGTACAATACATTGAGTGCTATATGCTATCAGGATATAGGTGTATTTACAGTATTCAGGACAAGAAATACTGTTGAAGAGCTGGGTCTTCAAGGCTTTCTTGAAGGTGGGATAAGAATCTGATGATTTGATAGTGCTTCTTTAAATTGTTGTGTATCAGAAACGTCAAGAAACAGATTCTTATCTAAAGCAAATAAGGAAAAGAGACAGAAGAGAGGGAAAGGGTTTTGGCTTCCCCTGACTGTCATTTTCCAACTCTTTTCTCCCATGTAGGGCTCTTGTTTCTCTCTTCCCCTTTGGACTATGAGACGCAGCGCGTCCACCACCTGACCGTCCGTGCGGTGGACCACGGCCTCCCCTCTCTCTCGTCCACTCAGACTTTGACTGTGGAGGTGGGTGATGTGAACGACCAGGCGCCTGTCTTCAGTCAGACATTCTACAACTGCAGTGTGGCTGAGAATAGACCCCCTGGAGAACCAGTGCTCCAAGTTTCTGCAACTGATTTGGATTCAGGTAATGATTAGAAACCACCAGTCTGGCACACTGATATGTTAGTAATACTCATCAATCTGTACTCATCAATCTGTTGTATAGGCAAAAATGTTTTAGTTGAAGCATGTTTCAACTCTACTGATTTCGAATCTAGTTGACTTTATTTTAGCTAATTTTTATATGATATATTTATATATTAAAGAGTTAATTGAAGAAAGCACTGAAGCTGCAGCACTGCATCCAAACCTGCTCTAATAAGAATCCTGGATATTTAAGTCATGATCCAGAGGCCAGCTCATCTTACTTTAAACTTACATATTTTGTCTACCCAAGAAAAAACATAGCTCCTCTATTAGAGGTATAGAACACAATGTACGTTTTCTAAGCATTGGAATCAAAGTCATTTTACTGTACAAGCAGATTTTAATTTTCCAATGTACAAAATAATTGCCAATAAGAGTCTTTTGAGCTGCCTTTTTACTCAGATATAGAACCAATATTTCACCCTAAAGTGTCTTAGCACATATGTCTCAAGGTACTGTTGCTCCAAAATCCCTAGATGGCAGCACTACCGTGTGTTCCTGAGGTTTACCGTCTCAGAATATACCACCAGATAAATCAAAATAAATTAATGCCCACAGAAGTTAAATTGGACCCAAAAGACCTCAATAACAGCTGTATAACATATGTGCAATTGTTTACTCGAGAAATTGAGCCAATTGATTTTTTTAAGAACAATTTATATTTTGTTATTTTATGTTATGTTTCCACAATCCTTTTTTCAGATCAATTCTTTTTTCTGTGCACTCGAGTCATCCTTTACTCCTTCATATCTAGTTCATCTGACCCTTGTCCATTTTTAAATCCACACATCAGTCGTATTTATTTTAACACATTCTGCAGACAGTTGCCGGTCCTGTCTCATCCCATTTGACAGTGGGAGTCTACTTAAATCCCTGTATTTTAGGGTGTGCAGCAGAGGGATCTGCGCAGGAGGGGTTTCAACATGAACAAACATTCTTAGGTTTAGAGAATAGCCTAAGAACAGCAAGCACACAGCTCCTCGAGGAGATGTGAAAGGTCCTCTCTCATGATGATTGCCATAATCCAAGCCATCTGTGCCAATAGGCGCCGTGTTTTCATCTGCCTCCTCTGATCGCCTCGGCTTGCAGCTCAGCTCATTCTCCCAGCAGTCTTCTTTGATTATCATTTGTGCTGCTTTTCTTTCCACAAATTCTTGCCAAAGATGACCATTGTTTGGTGACTGTGATGGTCTCTGCATCCAGTTTCCATGTGGTGTGTTAGCCAGAAGAGATGTGTAATATCATTGACAGTGACAGCTAACTTTTGTATTACTCTGAATATCCTGGATTTCATGCTCCAGGGAAGGAGCTCATGTGTTTTCAAGATTTTTATTTTAAGAAATTTTCTGCTGACTGAGTCAGTCTTATGATATATGAGATGGTTGGAAGGTCAAATGTAATCACCAAGTCAGACTTATTTAGAGTGTTGCAATACAATTTTTTTAACTAACAATCACAGAGTAGCTTGTTCGGTGTAATCATTAGTATAAAAGCCATTGATTCCATTGAACTAACTAAAGACTGCCAGCTTATTACCAGATGACACAATTAGAAAAATACACATTGTGTCTTTTATTAGCTTTGGATAACAAACAAGCACATATACGATTCAAACATGTCACAGCTGTGGCCACAGAGAATCCTCTAGATATAAACCAAACAGACCAGGGGTCCTTTTCCCTGTCTGCAGGGACCCAAAGTCATACTTGCTTTTTCGCTCTCTGAGCATCTGAAGACATCTGAGATGATTTAAGAGCACGCATCACTGAACTGCAGCTGCTGGGCAACACCAGCACAGTATGTGGTCACATGAGATGAACCCGGGTCTGCAGACAAACCATGAGCCATGTTTGGGAGCCCCTCTCTTTTAGTTTTAAAAGTGACGGATGCCATCAAAGGATTTCTTTTCTCTGCCATTTTGTTTTCAGTGAAGACCTGGAGATAAGAGCAGAGTGAAGCAGAGGCAGATGTGAAAACTTAACTTAAACTTAACTTAACTTCTGAACGTAAAGATACAAAAAAAAGTCTTTATGACACATTTATAATCTCATAATTCAGGATGTGATAAAATCAATAGTCAAAGAGAATATTTTTCATTTATCATTTATTATGAATGCAGATAAGTAAACTCATTGATTAGATTTTTATCTGACTGCTAAGGTGGAGTGCCTGGGATCATCATTTGATCGAGTCCTTTTGGTATACGTGGAATGCTGTGGCATCATCTTAGATATAAAGATATTTATTGTAGTTTTAAGCCTATAGGCTGGACACCACTCATTATTTAGTTACTACAAATACATTGAAAGAAAATGTGAGATCATATGTGTATCATTGTGTTTACGCTGACTTCCTGTGTCCATCCCTCAGAGGAGAATGCTGTGGTGTGGTACAGTCTGCTGCCCGGTCCAGGCTATGAGCTCTTCAGCATCAACCCATACACTGGTCTGATTACCACCGCATCCCACCTGGACAGAGAGCAGCAGCAGCACTTTACGCTAAGAGGTTGTCGCTTCGACCAATCTCACACACATATACACACAAAAATGTGGTGACAACATACCAACCCATCAGTTAATCAGTGTAGCGCACATGGCGGAGGCAAGGCCTGTAATCACACTCTGTATTTAGACAGTCTCAAAATGAGTTCGATGTCTTTGCTCCTTATCTGGAACATCAGTGGTTGTGATCAGGATTGTTCTACAGAAGCTTGTTTGTTTGAAATCTCGTCTGATATCAAGTTGATGATATAAACATAATAATTAGCTGAGATCTCCCAAATTAAGTGCTGCGTAATTCCTTTGATTTAGTAAAGATAAACAAAACAAAAATCAAATTCCAAAATACTTTGCGGCAATCTCCTAGATGGACATTTCTTTCACGCTCTGTTTCTCGTTCTCATCTCATGCTTCACAGCTAAAGTCATAAAGAATTCGATGTCAGCCCTCAGCATGAGGGCAACGTTATTCAGCAGTTTGATTTATGTTGGGTGAAACTTTTACAGGGCAGAAATGTATACACAGCCTCTACCAACTGCACTGCAGCACATTCGGCCCTCTGAGATGTTTGCTTTCACTCTCACTTGGGTACGCACTGTAATTACATTCAGCCTATCCAGCAGTGGTTAGTGATTAAAAAGGCTTTCAGATGTTTTATCACAATATTTGTACAGTCACCAGTATGACGAACAATTAAATCCAATAATAAAATGTAATGACAGGAAAGCTTGCATGTCTTGAAGTTGTGCCAAAATTAGAGTTCTTGGGAAATACTGAAATATGTGGAGACAGTTTTCTCTGGCAGCGGATACATTTGGAACAAAATGAAATATCAAATTATTTTATGTTTTTTTCAGTTTGAATAGCTTTTGTTGCTATTTTTCCCGCAATTAAAGTCAAATATTGTCAATCTTAGTGACCAGAGATGGAGCAAGTAATCACTTTATTGGTGTACTTTCAACGTTGTGTAAAAACCTATTGATATTCTGTTATTTTTGTTGAATTTAGACAAGTCTCAAACACAATAAATATCAAACAGATTTTCTCAAATGTTCTACAGATATTTTTCTTGTGCAATCACTAATGATACCAACCTGAAACAACAATGATATGAATCAGAGAAAGACAACTGACATAGCAGCGGGGCACTTATCACGTCATGGTAATATTCGCTTTAAAGTGAACGTCATAAACATCCTACTGGCATAACTCCAGCCCGTTCCTTATCTTCTGTGTTGAATCTGCACAGAACTACTGAACAAACACGAAATGCCAACATGTGTCCTCGGGCCAAAAAACAAAGAACAGCTAAAACTGCTGTTAGTAATAATAACTCTGGTGTTTTAGATTTTCGGACTACGTGATTATGGCTTCCACATGCTTTGGAGATTTAGAAAAAGCCTCTCATTTTGACAACGTGAAGATTTTGGATGATATTTTGTTCTCATCTGCAGTCCAGGCCCGGGACAGCGGAGCTCGACCTCTGTCGGGGACGAGCACGGTGCTGTGCTCTGTGCTGGACGACAACGACAACCCCCCGGAGTTCATGCAGTCATCGTTCCGTATCAGCCTGCCCGAAAACCTTCCTCCTGGGGTCATCCATACCGCTCTGGCCTCTGACCCAGACCAAGGAGAAAATGGCACTATATACTACACAATATTAGGTGAGCAGCATGTTGTTTTTTCCATAGGTGACCCTATTTTCTGCTTTATCTAAAAATGGTATTCCTATCAACATAGTGCATTATTACTGTTTTTACACTTTATTAACACACTTTGCTAATATCATAGGTTTTTTTCAGCAAATATTTTCTTCATTATTTATTGAGACCATGGTGAAAACCTTATGAACTGAAATGTATCCTTTAATTCCTCTCCACTGCTCTTAGGCGAGGACTACAGAGGACGATTCATCATGGACAGTCAGACCGGTGCTGTCCGTACCACACAAGTCCTCGACCGGGAGGAGACGCAGAATTACACACTCACCATTCAGGCCCTGGACTCTGGCCTGATCCCACTCAGCTCCACCACCCAGCTCCAACTAGTGTTGCTGGACCAGAATGATAACATCCCCTCTTTCAGCCTTAACAGCTATCGTGCCTACATCAGAGAGGGCCTTCCCGCCGGGGCCGAGCTCCTGCACATTAGCGCCTTCGATCCCGACGAGGGCCCCAATGGGGATGTGACCTACTCGCTGATGGAAGATGACAGCCAGGGGGCCTTTTCAATAGATGCCTTTACGGGAGCGATCCGCACCACCAGGTCTCTTGACAGAGACAGTCGGGCTCAGTACACCCTGAGAGCTGTGGCCACCGACGGCTGCACCCAGGGACCTCTGAGCTCCGTAGCATCAGTCAGCGTCCAGGTGGAGGATGTGAACGATAACATGCCGGTCTGCCAGCAGAATCCCTCAAACGCATGGATTTCCACGAAGACTTCACCAAACCAGGTTGTTAGCACCGTGTTGGCGACAGATGCCGACCAGGGCGAGAACGGGACAGTACAGTTCGCGTTATATGACGAGGAAAATCTGTTTGACATCAACCCAGAGACAGGAGAGATTTCTCTAAGAAGACGAGTGAAGGCAGCATTCTCTGGGAAAAAGCTGCAGGTTATAGTTTCAGATGGAGGACACCCTGCTCTGACCGCCACCTGCCTGGTGTTCATCCATTTGAAGGGAGAACATGAGGGACTGCAGTTCACAAGCAAAGCGTACAATGCTACTGTCGTGGAGAACAGCAGAGCTGGTATGTGTTATAGCTTCTCATCCTGTTTTTTCTCTCTGAAACTATATGAAACATCCGAAATTTTTACTTTTCTCTTTCTCAAGGCACTTTCATTGCAAAATTGGAGGCCAGTGACCAGACCGACGGCAGACAAAGAATCACATACACCATATTTAGTGGCAACGAGAATCACGTTTTCTCCCTAAACCATCACACAGGTAATAAAGATGACCGAGCACGCTAAGGCCTCGATTTTGTTCTCTGCTCTTGTTGTTCAGTTAAAAGTGTTTTATTTGGGGGTCACTTCACTGATTATAATTAGCACATCAGATAAGATGGCATTCCTTTTGTGGACTTGCAGGAACTCATACTTCATTTATGCTAATGGGACAAAATTCTCATTGACTATCATTCTCATTCACTCTTCAGTTGTATTTGCCAGTCAAAATGTCCAGAATTTTTTTTTTCATCAGTTGATTTTATTTTCATCATGATTCTTCAAAAGGACTTTTCATCTAACCGCACTCATATGTTTTTTGTTTTATGGTATTTTTATATACAAGAAGTTCCCAAATATTTATGATTGTGCCAGTCTCATTTTACCACATTTAATCTCAAATTCTTTTTGGATTTATGTGAGACAGTTATTACACTGATGCTGGCCCCAACATTTTGAGTTTGTTAACACATCAAATGTCCTGTTATGTTTTTTCCAATACGCTCCCTGACTTTCCCCATTAACTTGTCAAAAAGAGGCATATCAAGGCCGTTGGAGAAAAAAAAGCTTTGATCACAGTCGAATTTCTTTGCAAATAAATGTCTTTTTCAATCTTGCTAAAAAATCAAGCAAAACTTCCTTTTATGTTTTTTTTGTGAGCAACTCTGTGGCTTACTGTCACATTTCCATCTGATTTAGGTGAGATCAGAGTGCAGAAAGATAACTCTCTGGACTTTGAGATGAGCCCTCAGATCCAGCTGGTGGTGCTGGCTGACAGCGGGCTGGAGACGGCTTACTGCAGGGTATCCATCACCCTGCTGGACATCAATGACAATGCACCAGCATTTGAACACAGCACCTACAGAACATCTGTTTGGGAGGGGCAAGTGCACAACACATACATCATGCAGGTAAACTTAAGATATCTCATCCCAGTTTGAATTTGGAAAACATGGGAAATGTTTCAATTGACTTATTTCCATAAAGTATGACAAAATCCTGCTGATATAGAATGTTTCTTATCTTATATATTTTGAGCAGGTTTTTGCATCTGATGCTGACAGCGGTGTTAACGGGCAGATTGAATACTCCATTGTGTCTGGTAACAATAACGGAGCTTTCATTTTGGACTCTGTGAGAGGCATCTTGGCCACCAATGTTCTACTGGACCGTGAGATCACTTCTTCATACAAGTAAGCTCAGCTTGCATTAAAAAGTGTGAAGTGAACTGTTCACTAATGAAGAGCATTTAAAGTTCCTGTGTGAAACATTTAGTCAGAAATGCAATATATCCATGAATATCATTATTGAATTATTAAATAGAATTAGAAATTGATAATAGAAATTTTAAAAACACTATGAGAACGATTTGAAAATAAGACTTTGATCAATTAACTATAACCACACACACAGATTTTTACCGGCACCATCACAGGACTGTTGTGTCTCCTTCTGGAGTTATAGAACAGTTTGCTGAAATCAGTGAATTAGATCAGTATTTGTGCAGTAAGTCATATACATCATTGTGTTGCTACAGGATTTCTGCAGATGCACAATAGTGGAATAACTGATATTAGTTTGCCTGGTTACATCCCATCTGTGTAGACTTTCCTCCAGCAGACCAGTGCCTCTGTTCCCCCCAGATTCAGTCACCCGTGACATTGCGCAGACATGTGAGAAAGATTTCACTTTGTGGTCCTCTTATTGCCCTGGATGACAGCCTGTTGGAGAGGTTAAAGGGTTTGTTAACTCTATCGTGGAATCAGGTTCCATTAAGGTTTTTAGGTTCAACTTGGGATACAAATCATGGCTGTGTTCTGTTACAAGTCACTGAAGTGAGTGTTCTGGCTCCCTCCCACAGTCTGAAGGCATGCACATTAGGTTGATTAGTGATTCTGTGTGCATGGGTTGCCCTCCATTGGCCTGCCTGCTTCCCTGGGGTGTACCCTTCCTTTTGATATTCAAGAATGCGAATTAGGTTGATTTTCTTTTGACGATTACAGAGATAATTAGTTTAATTTGGTGAATAAAGTAAAAGTATATGTTCGACAAAATGAGCATATGGAATAGTACACATAGCATTTAGCAAAGTTGGTGAAATGGATCTGATTCTGATCCAGACTGGGATTTGCCCAACTTTTCATCACAAGAAAGCTTTCTGACAGATTGCCTGACAAGAAAGTGAGGAGACAATTAAAGTGAAATGAAATATCATTTCGCTGCAGCTGCAACAGAATGCTGTGTTATTCTTGCTCTTGAAAATGTATGTCAGAAATCTGCACCGTTAAAAAAAAACTAGTTCTTGGCTTTAAGATGTACTTCAACAGCAGATATGCATATATCTTAAGCTCTCTCATATATCAGCCTAGATTTTCTTCTTTTCCCTTGGTGTTGCAATCTAGTCCACTAGATCTAGTGGATCAAAAGATGATCCACAGTTTTTGGATGAGCAGTATTGCATTTTTATGGCTTTTATTATGTTACAGGCTGGTTCTACAGGCAGCAGACAGGGGGACACCTGCGCTCAGCAGTACTGCCACCGTCAGGGTCCAAGTGGTGGACATAAATGACAACAGCCCTGCCATCCCACCCATGGAGCCTGTGGTTATAGCTGAGAGTGAGTCCATCCCTCCAATTTCTCATCTCTTTACCTTTTTACATGACAAAGTCTCAGTAGTACACACAATCTCATTGTTCAATAAGCTTTAAGTGTAAACTTGTGTTGTACTATAACACCTGTATATTCTCTCTCTAGATCTACCAGCTGGTTTTGTGGTGACCCAGGTGACTGCAAACGATGTGGACTTGAGCCCAACCATCACCTACAGCCTTTCGGACAACACTAGCACCAACGTTCCCTTTGCTATTGATCGTTACACCGGTGTTATCACCCTGACCCGAGCCCTCGACTACGAGGTGGAGACAGAGTACACGCTGACTGTGTGTGCATCAGACTCCCTGTACCAGACCACCGGAGAGGTTAAAGTTCAAGTGCTTGATGTCAATGACAACGCCCCAGTCTTTTCACAGGCCTCCTATCAGGTACATTTGAAACATAAATCAAGGGTTTCAGGTCTTTCCTGCGCAAAAAGATGTTTATTATCATTCACTTGTTTCCAAAAACTGCAGGCTTTATTTGATTGTTATGTAAGAGACTTAAGACTTACTCAAATGATTTCATCTGTTATTTCTCTGAAGATGGTCAAATCAAATAAAGACGGCACCTGGCATGAGTCTGTCTTCATAAACACTGGCTCCCACAGTTCCCATTATGCAACCTGTCTTCCATCAGCCCCACTTATCGCTTTAATGTTCAAATTTTTCAACCTCCTTAGCTCCAGTTTAAGATTTTTTTGCTCTAATTATTTCAACTTTCAAGCATGATTCAATATGTGTTTTGGATACAGATTTTAGAAAAAGCTGCCAATCTATTTAGAAGCTTTATCCAGGATAAGTAACACACCCCAGGATAAGGGAACTGAATGTATTGTTTTGAACAGTTGGAATGGCTTGCCTTCTTATATTATTAAGTCATTGAGTATGTGCCTGTTAATAATTTGTAGAAATCTCTTTTTTTGATAGGGTACCTCTTTGAAATATTTATTAACCGTCATTAAATATAATTTATTCCAGATACTCTTACTAATTTCTTATAAAATCTCCATGTGAATAGAATCCTAGCTGGAATAAAGGGTTACAGCAATTGGAAAGCCCAAAAGATTGCAGAAAATAGAAATGATTAATCATATATATCATATTAAAAGGCAGATGGTATACAACGAGCTGATTAAGTGCTTTCTGTTTTTGCTGCACATGTGATCAGATATTCGCTTTGTTTTTCAGGTGGAGCTCTCTGAGCTGGTTTCAGAAGAGACTGTAGTTCTGACGGTGTCCGCTACCGACAGAGACTCTGGAATCAATGGCAACGTCAGCTACAGGCTACTTTCATCTCCTCTACAAGGCTTTTACATCCAGCCTGACACTGGTAGAGAAAAATATCTTAAGAAAATAATCTTAGATGGGAAAGTTTTACTGTATCTGATTAACAGTAAATGTTTGAGTATGAGTTTAGGGAATGTGTATTTGTGAACAAATGATCCATGTCTGTGAAATAACATAGTCTACTTGATACCTCTGCAAAAAGCTAGTTCCTTGCGTCTTACATGTTTCATCGATTGAGTCTCTCTGAAGGGCTGATCCATTAAATTTAGATTGCTTAGCATATGCACATGCCAAATGAAAGGGTCCCAAAATAGTCTAAGTTGCATTAAAAATTGCAGGGGAGTTTTATTTATGTGGAAGCACATTTCCATTTGTTTATAGTTTTTAGTCATGTGCAATTCAGTGGATATAGAAACGGTGAATGCAATAAGAGGTCACTGGACCGTCGTACTTCAGTTATGCCGTGCTTGCACTATTACTCACCTCTTTAAAAAGGATTTAGAGCTGAAACAAAATCAGCTCTGGCTTGTCATTTTCACTCAAAGGAAATCTATTGGCTTTTGTTGTGTTTGATCCCCAAATTATCAAGAGAAAATTGTCTGCACCTTTGTGACCACCTCTGTGAAAGAAATGTGAAAGAACACTGTATAAGGTTTTCTGACAACAATCCAAAAATGTAATCTGGCACATTTTGGGGAGCAGAATCCCTCGGTTTTTCTGTGCTTATACGTTTCATAGTACACGGTGCCGCTTCAGGATGCATGTGGTCATCATGCACAAAGATTTAAGTGGCAGTGAAGTGGAATAAGAAATTAGAGGGTCAATCTCTTTGATGCCATTCAACAAGAACGTTTATTTTACACTGCACATGGAATTCATTTCAGAAATGTTTCCCAGGACATGATGTTCCACTGTGATATCTAATGACCATGACTAATTTGATTTAACCTTTTGGTCACACAAGCATATATTTGACTTGCTATTCCTTGAAGAAACAAATCATAACATTTGAGAGGTATTACTGTATTGCATTGGTTATGAAAAATTGGGTGCTTGTGTCGTTACGTAAATGTTTCTGTAAGAGTCACAAACTTTTTAGTTTTTAGAAATACCAGCTGGAATAGCTTTGATTAAATGCATCTCTCATGCAATTCTTGTTGTTTTGCAGGATCTGTTTATATCCGCAAGCCCTTAAAAGACATCACAAACAGGAACCTGATCCATCTTCTGATCGAGGCAAGAGATGGAGGGGATCCTGTGCGCTCGACTGTCACCTGCATCGATGTGTTGATTTTGGACTTCAATGACCACGAGCCTTTGTTTCACCAGGAGGTTTACACACTCTCTGTGGCAGAGGATACAGCTACTGACTCTACTTTACTAACCCTCTTTGCAGAAGACAAAGATTGGAGCCCTGAAAATACCCATTTGGATTATGCCATTATCAGAGGAAATGAGGAGAAACGATTTTGTCTGGAAGTAAAAATGTTTCCTGTAGACAATCAAATGAAAAATGTTGGAAAGCTTGTTCTATGCAATCCTTTGGACCGTGAGACAACGGACAGCTACGAGCTAACAGTGCATGTTTCTGACCGAGGAACGCCGTCACTGAACAGCTCTGCTGTTGTCATGGTGTCTGTGACAGACTGCAATGACAATGCCCCCATCTTTTCTAGCTCAGAGTACCACGCCCAGGTGAGTGAAAGTAGCCAGATCGGAACCAGGCTGGTTCAGGTCAGTGCTTGGGATCCTGACCTGGGGATTAATGGTCTTGTTCAATACAAAATTATTTCTGGGAACAGCAAAGGTCACCTCAAGCTCGATCCCCAGTCTGGCATTCTGGTGGTCAACCATCCACTTGACTATGAGGAAGACTTCAAATACATACTCACCATCAGAGCGTCTGATGGCGGTGAAGCACTCGGAAACCCCAAAGTGGCTTTTGCTGTCGTCTTCATCACAGTGTTGGATGAAAATGACAACTCTCCATACTTCATGTTCCCCACTATTAACTGTTCAGTGTCAGAAAACCTCCCAGCATTTACTCAGACATGTTCTGTACATGCTGTTGACCACGACTTAGGTCCCTATGGCCAGCTCACCTATTCTATTCTGTCCTCTTGTTTCCTGGACTACGGCAGTGGCAGCCCAGAGAGGAAGGAGGCCTTTGATATTGATCCCCTTACAGGGGACATTCACACAAGACAAACCTTTGATTATGAGCGAGAGAACGAGTACTGTTTTGTGGTTGAGGCAAGGGACAAAGGCGACAAAACGACTACAGTAAGAGTTCAGGTGGCTATCAAAGGAGTGGATGAGTTCAGTCCTGTCTTCACCCAGAAGCAGTACCATTTCATCCTGCCAGAGAATGTGAGGCCCGGAGAAACGCTTGGTTATGTTATGGCGATGGACCACGATGCAGGAGTGGACGGGCTGGTGGAATACTCCCTTGTGAATTCATCCCCGTTTTTCTCGATAAATAAAACAATCGGTGCCATCTTTGTGTCAGGACCTGTATACCGCAGAAGAGGAATCCATGCCAGTGAGGAAATGGTGGAACTAACTGTGTCTGCAGGTAGTCCCAGACTAGGCTCCAGGACTACGACATGTCTGGTTTTTGTCAATATCTCCAGCTCAGCTGAAGCACTTATTGGAGTTCCTCTTGATACCCACATGCTTAGTCTAAGTGTATCATTAATTTTGTTCCTCTTTGTCCTGATCATCTTCGTCGGCTTGATTCTCAGGTGCAAATTTAAAGAAAGTGCTATTAGAAAGGCAAATACTATTGTTGCACACAGGCATAGTACCACTGGCTCGTTCAGTGGATCCAACAATAGAACTCAAGGTGCTATATCATTACAAGAGTTGACACAGTCCAACACATTGGTCACAAAGAGGGACATCTCAAATCCCTACCCTCAGTCGGATTCAAGCGGCCGTGGATCAGCTGAGGGTGAGACAGCTGAGGACCAGGAAATCAAGTGGATCAATGAATACCCCTACCATAAAAGAGAGGAATCCTGCAAACAGACCCCAGAGATTCCAAACTCTGCCTTACAAGTAGATAGTATCTCTTACCACTCTATTGATGTAGGACCAGAACACATTCTATCCCTTAATAAATGTTTAGTTACAGGTATGGCCAGCACAGAAAGTATCCACACCTTCAGAGATGAGGGAGGAGGTGAAGGATTACTTCCGGCAATACTGAGGGTGAGAGACTTGGAGGAGAATGTGGGGATGAAAGGTTTTGCACCTCTCTCTGAAGCCCAGGCAGCTGCCGATTCTCTGTCTTCACTGGTGTACCTCGAGGAGCAACTGCAGGGCAGCTACAACTGGGACTACCTTTTGAACTGGGAGCCACGCTTCCAGACGTTAGCCTCGGTATTCACAGATATTGGGATGCTGCCTGATGAAGAGCTCCAAGGTGGCCGTGAGGACTTGGCGGCAGAGTCGAGTTGTCTCATGTACCCACCACCTCTCATAACAAGAGTAGCCCAGCCTGGCATACGGACTGTCCCTCCACGAAAGCCAGGTCGAATGGCCAGTCTGAGCAGGAAATCCTCTTACCCTAAGTATGCTTATTCCCCATTAGCCCGAAACACAGGACTCACCCCATCAGCTATGACACCCACGTTTTCTCCATCTCTGTCCTCGCTCACCATCCGGACACCGAGCGCTTCACCAGTTGTCTCAGAAAATGGAGTGGGGGGCATCAGACTTGACTCAGGCCCTCTCACTGCAAGCCTTTTGGAAGCAGAAATTCAAGTGTAGACAAAGACTTTAAACATGTTTGTATAAAACAGTATCTCATCCTATACTCACCATCCAAAGCATTGTAAAGAATGTTGCACAATTTGTTTTCTGATGTTCATATTTTTCCTGGACGCATTTCCAATGTTATTTTCCTGATTTCCATAGTTTTAGAATGACTGGTTAGACCCTCTTCAAAGCTTGGCGTACATTTCATATGAAATAGTGTGGTGATATACTACTCTGATTAAGGTTGATTTTTATAACCCACCTCTACAATAAACCTAAATTAATATCTGAAAAGGCCTGAGCTTTAGCCTGCATTGCATTACATTCTTGTAATGGAATATGTGAATGAGAGCAGATGTTCTGGGTACCAATTAATTACTGGCTGTTTTATTGTAAGCATGTTCATATGTGCATAAAATGAAACACTTTGTTACAGCATTGCATTGCTACTTCTGAATAGAAACTTTTCCATGCTTGGTTTAACTTTAATAACCAAAGAAAGGCTACATGTTTCTGTGGTTATGACCATCATTAAAAAATGTTTTGAATCCAGACATTATGAAAATAAATTGCGAACAAAATCCAACTCATTTTATTTATTTAAATATGGAAAGTGGTTTAATTTTTTTAGTTTATCGCTCAGAAATCATGACAACTTACTTTTTGCTTTTACTCAAATAACCACAAAGAGGGAATCTGTGTTGCTATATTTTGTGAAACTGACAACTATTTTCCCACCTTATTTGAAAGGGCAAACAAAGTCCCAACTTTTAAGATAAATAGCAGAGCAGGGTACTGATGACATTTTTGCATTCAGTCGCTGTTATATCTTGTCATTGCTCATTTTGCATATTACAAACAACATGGCTAAAGTAAGGAAAGGATCATGGCCTCCATTGAAACACATATGGTAATCATGTATCACATCAAAATATCCTTTTCGTGGATTACTGGCTGCTGAAACCTGGCACCTCATCACGCAGAGTGTGTTGAACACATGAACCAGATGTCCTACTGAAAGACATTACTTTAAAAGTCATACTGGGTGGCACAGAAAAAAAATACGGACTACGTTACTACAGACTACAATTATTTTTCATTTCAATGTCAAATACTATATAATTTGCTGTGAGGGCAGATGTACAGACATGTAGAAAGTGTTTGCTTTTATCGTTGTTTTATTTAAGGCTATTTGCTCATTTTCTTATATGACTTTGACATTGTGAGAAAAACCGTGCAAATCAATATTTCCAGTTTTTCTCTGGCTTGCTTTTCATCTGTAGTAGTGCCAGAAAAATGGCCTGGTTTGGCTTTATGACATTAAAACAATGGCGCTTTCTCCTAATTGGTCACAGTAAAGGAATTCATCATCACTCTACTTCTGCCACCAAGCATTGCAACATCCAAAGATTTTTTTTTCTTTTCTAAATCTCACCACTGATGATGGTAAATTAATGCCTGAGTGTTCCTCAGTTCAAACCTCTGCATTCAAGTCATCAGTGTGTTTCACATCACTGTTTAAACTATGAAAAGTGCCATCGTAATTAAGTGTGTGATTACAAGGCTGCTCTAGTCCACCAACAGATTCCCAGTTCCTTAACTCCTGGAAAATTAGCTTTAAATGCATTTTTCCGTTTCTTGTTTGGGCTCTGGAGAGTTCTTTTGTTGTCTCGAACAGTGATCTGAACATCTAAGAATTTTGCCTTTCCAACGAAATATTAAGTGATTCGACATGGCTCCATTGGGTCTGCTGTTAATCCATATGTGCTGCCTTCAGGGAACATATGATCTGGGGAAGCTGGAGCCAAAGTTTTTATCAGATAGTTTCAAGAAAGATAATAAGCAGCCAGGCCTTGAACACAACTTGCCAAGTGTACCCTGCATACAGTCGCTGATAGCTGCATGATTATTTATGGCCTCAGTTCAGAATCTCCCTTAAAATACTTCTGAATGGTTTTACACTCTTCTGTATTTGTGATTCTAGCGGGTCTTTGGCCTCATAACATCATATCAGGTTATATAACCAAACAAGCTCCTGTCTCTCTTCACTCAACTCAACAGTCCCCGCAGCTTGTTTTAAGGTAGTCTGTGGATCTCTGTCAAATAGAGTCTGTCACTCAGTGGAAGAATACATCTGCTAAGAAAGACCAGGAATCTTTATGGATCATCACTGCAAATAAAGATTTTTTTTCAAAATTTAAAATGTTTCATACATGGTTATTACAAACTGAACATCATGGAAAGCACATGACTTGAATCTTCCATATGGCTGGATTTAGAAGACAAAGATGCTGCTGGGACATGATGTGAGGAAAAATTAAGGAGAAATATCTGAATCTGAGGATAGTGCTCTGAAAAAAAACACCTTCCTTGAGCAATTGAACAACAGAGAAGACCTCACATATCTGAGAAACAGCATGCTTAAAGTTGAAAACACCACGACCAATTCCCTATTTCATGGTTGTGAAGAACGCACTCCCAATAGTCACCTACTTTTAACATGTGTTTTCTTTCAGCCCTTTAGCTCTCTGTCAGGTTTCATAAGACCCAGCTCAATGGTTTTTGGATGTTCTTGTTAACAGACAAACAGCCAGGGAGTGCTGAATGCTCACATCCTCCTCAGCCTCTGTCTTGGCCCCAAAAAGAGCCCCACGTTTTCCCACTGAGATGTCGTTCCAAATTGTCCATTGGTTGTTTAAGAGGGAGGGGGTGACTTTTGCCAGCCTTAGGGAGCCTCCTAATGGCCCAGGGCCCCAAGCACCTAGCATGCCTGTTCACAAACTGCAACTGTGAGTGAACTGTTTTTTTTTAAACTGGTAGAAGCTGGTTTTGTCCTATGTCCATATTCCCCTTATCAACAGAGTTTCTGGGAAATCGACCTTTTTTGTTTTTTTGAAAATGCCCAACAAACAAATAGAGATACAACCAGCAACATGAGCATTCCCTGTTTGTCAGAGCTAGTCATTTTTAAAAAACTGTAGGAAGGAATAGAAAGGGATTTTAGTTGAAAGAGTAGTGCCAAACATATATAGTCAAGTCAGTAATGGATTCCTTTTCATATTGTCCTTATATGGATTCAAGAACATTCATGGATACCTGACGAAAATGAATAAATAGAAAAAAAACAAGAGCTGACCTTAACAATTAATGCTTGTGTTCCATTTATTTAACAAAATGAAAGATTCACTGCTTGCAAAAAATTCTATGAAATACAAAATATCTTAACAATGACGAATAGATTTTTTATGACAAATACAGGATAAATTACTCTAATAAATAAACCCTGTCCTTCAGGAAGGGAATATTTTGTACTAATTTTGTTCCTTCTGAATCATGTTTTCCTGTACAAAAAGAACAAAAGATTTCCATCCGATGGTCCAATCTGATAGTCAATTAGAAACAGGGACATGGGGTTTTGGTTGAGATATGCATTGGCCTCTCAAGCAGATCTGCACTGTGGTTTTCTGGTTTGTATCACAGGGAACTTGAGGCCGTAAGAGGCACAAAAGAATATCAGTCATGAGATATCATTGTGGAGCATCAAATACAGTCTGGTAACATTGTAACGGTTCATGTTACAATAAAATGCTTTTTAGAGTCTCCATCCCACTGACATTGTTGCCCAAAACAAAAAAGAAAAGAAAAAAAAAATCCAAACTACCACAGGTACAAGTCCACTGTTTCGATGAATACATGAAAATAGAAGCTTTCATCCAAAAGATTTTATGGGGCTTACGCATAAACAAGTCAGTCAGTGAAAAGGTTTTCATGACAGTCGTGGCTGTTTCGTAAAAAAAAAAAAGTGTTTCAGATCAAACCATGATCAATGTTCAACCTGAAGCAACTAGCATTACTGCCTAAATCCAACTGTAATATGTTAAAAGTGTTTTAGAGAAGTTCAAAGCGCCACCCTTGACTTCCATCCACCTCCCCTCTGCTGTCCTTATGAGGATCGTGAGGCTTCAAAAATGAATTACTCACGAATCAACCCCGCTCTGATGTGGAAACTCGCATTCAAATGATGACTGACATCTGGAACTTGTTGGGCCGGTAAATTGCAGCACCAAAATCAGTGATGTGACATTAGGAAAGAAAGGCAGTAAAATATATTCTAGGAACCATAATACTATTTTAAACTGCTGTCAGATTTAAATTCAGTAAGATGTTCTTCCCATCAGCGGTAATGTAATTCAGTTACACCAATTGGAAGTCACTAAAACTAAGGTTGTTTTATCCAGGACCTCTTTGAAACTTGAAGGATGATATAGCTGTACAAAATTCTTTGACACTATCTCTCTGGGTGTGGTAAAGCAAACACGTTGGTTTACAAAGATAACTAGGACTCTTTCTCAGGAGAGATGGTGTCCATTCTACTTTTAAGTCATTCAGTCCAAAGTTGAGACCAGGACACAGAGCTGCAACCGCCAGTTTCAGATATCTTCAAATCATGCTTACAACACAGTCATAGATCAGTCCTACTAGCATGATTAGGCTGATACTTTCGCTGCAACCGTTTTTCTTCTATGCATCCAGACAATTACTCCTATTTCCTCACAGAGGCGCACTGAGACTCAATCCCAACCACTCTGTTTAAGCGGCACCCTTAGGTAATCTAACTTTGTTTACAGTCTATGTACTTCAGTTTCAAGATTTCTGTAACAAAACCTTTACTTTAAAAAAAAAGGCTTATATTTCAGGAGTGTTCTATTTATGATTAAATGATTTTGCTTTGTAATTATTCACGGTTAAAATGTTTTGGGAGACTTTCATTTTATTCATCCATCCGTCTTCTTATTCCCAAATGGGGTCACGGGGGGGGACTGGAGCAGGTTTTTTGAGGGTGGGAGGAATCCAGAGTACCCACACAGACACAGAGGGAACAAACAAACTCCACACAAAAAGGTTCCGGTTCCCCCGGGACTCTTGCTGAGAAGCAATGGTGCTGACCACCACCCTAGTTTCTGTTTAATTTAAATTGATTTAATTGAGTTTAACCAAATTTGAGGGATTGTTTTTTCAGTCTTCTACATACAACATACGGACTGTGCAAACCTCAGCATCCTGAACATGGAGCTGTTGAGCCACAGCACAGACAGAACATTCTGCTCCTGATACGTCCTGCTAAGCATAAAAAAAAGATGTAAAAAAGTTGTAACTTTATTTTTATTAGAGGGGATCTTCAAATACTTTTTAATTCACTGCCTAATTTTGAACATTTGTAAGATCTGAATTTCAGTTTCAATGCTGATATAATGTTTTTAATGTCTTCACACCTCACACTTGAAAAAGAAAAAAGAGAAGAAAAAAGAGTGGAAGAATACTTTAATTTATGTTGGTGATGCAAGCCTGTTGCACAGGATTACAAACCCCATCTGCTGCAACAAAATGAGAGCAGTCAAATTGCTCTTACCTGAAATGTGCTGCTTATTATAGACTGGTTTCGACTAGAAAATTAAAACAATATGCCGTCGGAAACTGCCTTCAAAAGGTATTTGAACATTTTCTACATGTTTCTAATGCTTTTATGTTTAAGAAACTAAACCGAACAAAGTCATTCGTCATTTTGCCACAAAAGAA